CCGTTCGAGGGGGGGGGGGGGGTATATAGCCAGTGTGAAACGGGAGAATTTCCCCAACTTCCTACCACTTTTTCCGAATTTCCCGAAAATTTTCCTACTTTTTCCCTAAGATTTGCTGTCGAGCGTGGGGGAGAGTATATAGTGCGCGTGAAACAAGAAAAATCACGCAAAAAGTCAACAACTGGAAAACCAACGCGACCAGTTACGACCCTCCTCCTCCCCAGCGGAAAAGTACGATCCCCTTATGTGTTTCACACAACGATGCTGTACCCTGCCTGGGGAGCATCTTCTCTGCCTGTTGAATTTGCAGTTTCAGGCGCACTATCACCAGAGTCTGGGCGATTTCGGAAAAGTTTGGGGGAGCAACTTGCAATTTTGCGAAGTCACCTCGTGGCATTAGGGTAGCTTTGCTGGAGCTTTAAGTTTGCCTAGCGTACTAAGGATCGAGCATGGCAGCATCTCCGCCCAGTATGACCAACTATAACGGGGGCTGAAGCTGCTCCAATGTACTGAGTAGCTTAGCAGTAGCTTAAAGTACTGCAGCGCTGAAGTATTGTCCATAATCTGCAACCCCGAGAATCCGGCTGAAAGACAAGCCATCAACAAGAAGGATCGGATGATGCGGATTCGACTAATCCCACGGACTCCGAGTTTTTGAACGATACGTGTCAATTACTTTTATTGCAGGCAGTAAACAAAGCCCAAGAGTTGGTTAGAGTTTGTAGTCCCTTCACTCGTCATCTAATGTGATGTCTGTTCAGCCAATAACTTCTAATTATGTCGTCACTACTCGTTATCGCGGACTCTGGCTCTGGATGACGAACATCCCACTTTAGACGTGCTTGCTCGCTGCGGCACATGACAAAGCTAAATTCAACCCAATGGAATGGTCAATTATTGTGTAGCATACGTCATTCAACCTCACCCACTTTGCACGTCACTCACCCCATGCCACGTAAAAAAACACCTAATCCTAAAATTAGCAGGCTTGTCTTCATGAACCTAAATGCGTAATCGTGTGGGAGAAGGAAAGACGCACAACCCCCTCCCCCTCCCCGCTGCCAAACTGCGCCGGTTATTCCTCAAGCATATGATAGAAAAAAAATCGAGGACCAGTGCTACAACTTGGGGAAAAATAACTTCAATTAAAAAAAGTCACTGTATGGTATGTAGCGGTGAATGAAACTCCCACCTCATAGTTTACCTCCTCTTTCTGTTTTGCATTCAATCTTGATAATCGTATACGTTTCAAAGCTATTTTTCGAGCAGAAACGACCGTACGACTAAGGGGATTTTCAATCAGGCTAACTTCTCCAAAACTTCCTGAAATTGTTGAATCTCAATCGGCTGTGTTTCACTTCGTTATGGTGCGTTCATACTTAGCGGCAGCGTTTTGAGCTCTTAAAGCGACTAGGGAAATTCAGGCTCGATCCAGTGGTTTAAGCGTCCGCCAGCGTTCTCAGCGCTATCTATACATTCTTAGTCG